ACGTAATTTCTTAGACATAAACATGTGACTTTCATCCTACTCGGGTCCGAACGGACCCAGGCACCGCCGTGCATGGGTTAAGAAAGGGTTGTGTGTAAGTAGTCTTCAACGAGATGGATTACGATTATGTTTAGTAGCGATGGAGAAGTTGGACAGATAAAGTACAGTCGGTGGAAGCGATATAGCGAGGTCGTAAAATTGGTCAGGCGTCAAAGTACACGTAATCTGAGCCCTAAAATAGTAGTTTAAGAGAGATGAGAAACTCTAGTCTCGTTCAAGCCAGTTCGATGTCAACTCGGAATTGATACTTTCAAAATTTGTCTAAGCCTCAATCCTTAACAACGCTAATTTCTACCAATAAGACACAAGTCTCCAACGGTATCACAGAGCTAGCTCCATAATCGTAGGTAAAATTTCGTTTGATTAAAAATACGAAGGATAATACGCGGCGGTAATGGTAGCGGAAGTGGTTTAAAGAAGACGCCGAGCAACAGGAAATCTGGATTACCATTAATAATCCCTTTACAGTGTCCCGGGTAATCGTGGCACCGAAATGACGATGGCTATTTGCGATGCTAATTCTCCTTGTCCATCTGCTTCCTAATCGGATCTTCTTGTTCCGCGCGAGTGAAAAGTTTGAACCGCACTGCGGTTCCATAGTCGAGCGGGCATCTAAGAGGGCGCGACGATCTCAACGCCAACCAGCCAACCTGCGTTCTTGCTGAAATTGCCATCGTGTCTTTTTCTAGGCGTCTGGCTTCCAAGGGACACGCCGGAATTGCATTTGTGATACGAGACACCGACACCTTTTCACGGTCGTTGGAGGACCTTCCGTCCCCTTTGGGACCGTTGCACCAACATCGGCCCGATGCATTATTAAATACCCGGCGTCGTGAAAGTGAGCACGTGAACACATTCGACGGTGTTGTCTGCTCATTAATCGGTAACGAGTATTATTCCGCTTGCATTATTCGAACGGTTAGAAAAAGTGAGCGTTTAGGGTGTACCTACGGCTCACGTTTCCTTCTTAATCGTTAACGAGTCCCACTTTTTCCTGTATTATTAAGCCAACCGCGTAAGATGGGCGAGCCTAGGGAATGCATTTTGCAAATTCCACTGCGGTCTCTTTTGCATTATCGAAACTCACGTTTGTTTGCTTAAACGTCTATATTTTGGGAAACGAATGTATCCATAAATCGATGCGACGTATTCGCAATTAGATAAATTGCTCGTGACAATTTGTCAGGAAAAATGGTATAAAAATTTTCTAAAAGTTTGTATAGTAGGTGATTTTTTTTTCACGTGCTAGAAACTCCAGGTTTTGACAAATAATACCGCAACGCTTTTCGAAACCATTGAAATTTTGAAAAATCCCCGTCGCCGTTCGTCAAAAAGGATCATCATTATCTCCATCGCGACAGAAGAGAATCTGTAGCGGCGTATTAATTCCGTCGATTTTTCACGCCGTGAATCGCACGGTTATTTAGCTACACTCGCGACGCGTGTACGCAAGATTAAAAGATTGGTCGTCGACGCGAGCAATATCGTCACGGATCGACGCTGATGTTTGGTTCGGCAAATCGTTCCGATGATAAAGCGTTGTCGATTCGACAGCCCGAAATTCCATGATCGATCGAAGCTTATTTTTCCACGGCGTCAAGCGGTGTGTACACGTCGTCGAAAAACCGGTCAATATCGATTCGATTCACTCGTTCCTTCGTGCTACTTCTTTTTACGCTCACGAAAATGAGCGTCGTTTTCCTGCGAAATCTAACACGATAACGAGGGGTGGTCGCGGTACGTTTGTCGTAATCGTAACTCGACTTTCACCGTTTAAACGTAGTTATAAACACGTTCGAATAGTTTCCACGAACGAGCTTGGAACGATGGACAAGGAACGTCGTATAAACGAACGTTGCATAGCGGCGATGAAACGCGCGCCTCCATTGTAACACTCTGCCAAGCCACCCCACGACTACCTCGTTATCGCATCATCGTTCTCATAACGAGCTCGTATCGTCATTACGTTCGCTGATTCGAGTGCCACCGATTCACCCTGGCGTTCGATCCCACGTAATCCTCGACACGCATTTAGAAAGGCAATAACGAAGAACGATTACGTACCCTGACCCTTCTTTTCCCCCGTTAAATGGCTAACTTTGTCTCTGGTTTCAATAAGATCTCCTTTCGTTCTGTAGTTAGAGACGTTCAATACTACCGTGAAATTCGAGGAAAAGTATTTTTCCACTCACTTTTTTACCACTTACGAAAGACGCTATTCTACTTTTATCGTTTAAAAAGAAGACACTACGATATACTCACTACAACAATTTTCACATCTTGCAACAAACACTGGAGATAATAAGTTTCTTCGATCCTAACAATTTTTTTAGACATACAACCCTTTTTCACAAATTTCAATCAAAGTATTTCCGACGTTTGACAAGAATGGGCAAAATTGCCCGCGAGCGTTCTCGGGCAGCCCGCACGGGCTCGGTAGCGCGCTCGATTTCAAAGTGAGATTTGGGGAAAAGATGCAGGTAAACAAACACGAGGTCCGCGCAGGCGAGCGCGACAAGGGCAACAGAAAGACAGCGGAGAAAACGGAGCGAGACAGCGTCGCGGGCAGGAGGGAAAAGCCCAGGGGTGGCTGATGCGCGGGCGCGGCTTTGCGGGTCAGAGTGCGCCGGGTATATAACCGGGCGGATGCCGTCGTCCTTTAGTCTTGCGCTTATCGTCGTCGCGACGACCCGCTCGAATTCGTTAACGAAGTGTGGCCTCGCGATCGCGATTACTTTAATGACAGGTTCGTCGCGATAATGCCGCGTAGTGGGTGTTTCGTTCGATTATTCTCGTCGTGATGTATCATCGTGTGAAACTAGTATACGTTAAATATCGATCTAGATCCTACTTCGACAAGATAAAAATCTGCAACCAAGGATCGTACGATTTCGTTGATCCTGATTCAACGCAGCGCGGTTGCATCCTTCGGTTTCCTTCAGTGTCGATCGGGTAGTAAATGGTACGTCAACCTGTTGTAACTGCGCGTAAACAGAATCTACTTGGAACCGTGAAAATGGACGGGTGCAAGAGTGGAGAAAGGGAGGAGCTCTAAAGCCAGAGACGCCTCTAACGCTCGTCAACTGTCATTCAGACAGAGTCGAAGGGGTTGAGAAAGAGGAAGCGTAAAACTGAAGTGGTATTACGAGAGGATCTGTGCTCTGAGTAGGGAGAGACCCTATCGCCGTATCGAAGTTTGCCAGGGGGAGGCAGAGATTCGTGAGAAAGGTGGAAGAACCGAGAGGCGTCGGTGGGTGAAAACGAAAGGGAAGAAGGGAAGGAAAAGAAGAAGAAGAAGGGGAATTCGAAGGTGTGCGCCTCAGGGCAGATACGACCGCTTGTATAGATCTATATGCATAGGAAAGTCGCGGTGATAGAAGAGCCCCGGCCACGACGTCGTGTATCTGGGTCATACAGCAGTGTCTCTGTCCGTGTGTGCGACACAGCGGCCTGTTACCGCTGTCGCTGCTTGTTTTCCATAATTTCGCGAGATCCGCTTGTCCCAGCAAAAACCGGGGGAATAGGATCGTCGGCTGGCCGTGAGAACGGATGCGCGTGGAATTAAAAAAGAAGCACAGGAGGAATGAGGTGGTGGAGGGAGGAGGCGCTTTATTCGCCGAATGGTCGACACGGGGCGTCGATATCTCCTCGCGGTGGTTACGCGATGGTAATAGCTGCGGAAAAAACGGCGGATCTTCCGGAAACGCGTTAAGTGGAACATGCAGTTACGACTGGCTGGTGTCTTTTTTCCTCGTCGCTGTTGGAACAGTGGTCTGACGTGGTCTCGGAACACACGTACCTTTTAGGAACGTGCACAGTGTTCGTGGTAGAAGGAAGTGTTGGTGTTGCACACGGGTAACATCGCGTAGAAGAAGAAGAAGAAGAAGGATCTTGGACGTCGATGTTCGCGTTAGAATTACCGCAAACGCGGAACACTTAGGTTCGTTCTTCGCGGATGGTGCGCGGTTTTTCGATGACCGAGATCCACGGTGCACACGAGCTCGTTTCTAATCCTTTTGTTCTCGCGTGAACACGTTTTCTTCTGCACCGATCGGTTTCGATCGTTTCGTCCGTTGAATCGTTTTCGCGTTTAGGTTAGGTCGGTGACGCGTCGTCGGGCAACCCGATAACCCGTGACCGTAACGAGCTGTTACATCGTTACGCGTGAGAAAAGAGAGAGAGAGCCCCGGGTAGGTGTAAAAAAAGAGGAGGAACAACGTGGCTTGGTTAGCCTCCCGCGGGGACAATCCCTGGCTAACGAGCACCACGCGAGAACTACTATCTGTGGAAGAGCAATCCGCTCGCGCGAAACCCGTTTCTCTTTAGAGCGGACACATTGGACGCGGCTGGCTCGGTAAATAATGAACCTCCGCAGTCATTTATCAAGCACACCGCGAGGCCAACGAATGCTCAAAGTAGCCTGGTTCAAGTAAATGGAAGAGTGCAACGCGAACGAGTACCGGCAGACAGCAGAGAGCGCGCCACCGATCCCCCCCGTTGGATTTACCTCGCGAGAAAAATAAGACCTCCGGGAGCCTCTGTTGCTTTCTACACCCCCTCTGTCTCTCTTAAGGAGAACCTTTTTTTCGTTCGTTCAATTACAAAGAAGCACGGCGTAAAGAAAGAGAGGGTGACAAGAGGGCACATTCTCAACGTTATCCGAACCTGCACACGTTCCTCCATTCAGTCTACACGGATAAAAGGGGAAAAAAGAGCGGTCGATGTCGTGGTTGTGGTCGTCGAGGTGTTGGAGATGCGATCAGCGATCGAATCGTGCGACGGTGAATGGCCTGGTCGTTCCACGAGGATTTATCAGCGCGGTAGATAGCGGTGTATGAGAGAGAGGTAGCCACGGCTCGATGAGAGTGATTATTCCCGACGATCGCGGCAGAACGTTTAGCCCCTTTCGTGCGATAGTGTAGTTCCGCGTTAGGTGAATCATGAGACGACGAAACAACGGTTGCTGCTGCCAGAGCAGCAAGAAGATCGGTCGTGGCGGGTGCAACGACGCGGAGGGAAACGAACCGCCCGGATGGTGCATATACGCGACCGTCGCTCTGGTCGCCGTTGGCTGCTACCTGAACGCGTTAGGTGCGGATTTCGTGCACGATGACATACCCGCGGTGGTGAGAAACAAGGACGTGCTCGCTCAAACACCGTGGACCAGTGTTTTGAAGGACGACTTTTGGGGAACGCCTATGCACGACATGAACAGTCACAAGAGCTACAGACCCTTGACGACTTTAACCTTTCGGTGAGTTTTCTGTCTAAAATTCTCTTGTCTCCTTTTGTGTCTTTTTAATACGGCGGTTGTTGGATTATTTCAACACAATTTTTACGGTAAGTCGATACGCGAAGGTTTTGAAAAATTAGATACTTGTCGATGTTAATTTACGACTACATTGGGCAAGTTTCTGTACAAAAGAAAGTTGATTACATCGTGTAGAATAATTTTGATCGTTAAGTTTGAGATGATTTGTGAGACGAGTTTTTCCGTGTCACCGTGGAACGCGCGATTAATTACTCGTTCGTTAAAGATGTCCATCTCTCTCGTTAACCTTGATGAGTGAAGAGGTACATCGCATCACCAGAGCCCTTAATTATAATTAAAGGCAGCGTGAATCCGTGAGCCTTCTTTAGGGCGTCGAATCAGGTTCGAGTGCTCTTGCTTTTGATGAAGAGAGATGGTAGATTACGCGTCGCTATTTCTCACCCTATTTCCTACGACACAATTTCTCCGTTAACGCGGTAACGGTACTCGGCGTTACTTTCTAAACGAGACTTTTCACACTTCACCGTGTCCTCTCTTTTTATCGGGAACAATGTTGCGGAGCGAAGTTGTAAAAAACGAAAAGCAGCGGTAAGATCGGAAACGCGCTCGATTAAAATCTCCGTAAGTGGCTTGACGGAGGCGGCATGGCAATCAGCAGCGGTATTATTAAAACGAATTCGCCGTGCGCCGTTGCAACAATTAGTAGACAGTGCTCGCGGTCCAGAATTAAAGCTGCGAATTCAAAATAAACCGGTGTAAGCGCGACCGTTCCGTTGGCTTATCTCGAATGGCATAATTACACGTCGGATCTTCTCTCTTCTTTTTTTCTTTCCTTCGTTTTTTTCTTTTTCTCCCTCGTTCCGGAGTAAAGGGTGATCGCGTGAAACCCGATCTCCCCCCTCTTTCTTTCTCCCTTTTTTTTTCTCTGTTATACGACACTTTCGAGGAGTTTCGCGATCGCGATAAACGGAAGCAGACCGTTATCTCGCGCATTTCAAATGAACTGCACGTAACGCGTCTCACCTGCCCCCTCCCCGCGATCCTTTATCTAATTACACGGTAACAATAGTCTCAGACGGTCTAGGTTCGTTACTTAATTCAACGGATCCGTCAAGGATCTCTTTAATTTTAATTAAACGGAACTGGTAGATAGCGCTGTGCCGTGTGTTTTCTCTGCAGAACGAGGTTAATGATATATTTGACACGATGGAAAAGTTTGCGTGGGGACTTTTATTCTTAGATGGTTGAGAACAGTGTGAAGGTTCAGGTTTAATAGACGTTAATGGGTATGGCACACGCGGTGGTGTACATCGATTATTTACGAAAGTTGCTTGCCACTGAACAGAGCAGCGTTTGCTTGACCTGTGTGCTTAATCTTTTGCGTACTTGATTGTTTGGGAAAGGTTTGAGGATCGGGACAATATTTGATGTTTGTATGTCATTGGTTAAATTAATGGGTTCAGAGTGCAAATAAATTTATTTTATAAACTGCCCTTTCTGAGATCATATAAGGAGTGTTTCTAAGTGAACGTTCTGTTCTTAGACGTATATAAGATTTTGTCCGAGTGAATGCTAAACTACATCACTTGTTCTATAAGATCACCGATAAAGTGTCCTTTTTTGTTAAATTAGTTTGTTACCTTTAAATGGTCCCAACCGTTCAAAAGACTACTTTCTACCATCTTCTACCGTCTTTCCTACATCGAACTGACAATCACCAGTATTCCTTCCACAAAAATATGATCTTCACATCACAACCGGTCATTCAACCTACTAATGTAAAAATTTGCCCAAATGAAACAGGTAACTCCCACAACCGACAACAATCATAAAGAACCCTCAAAAAAAGAAAGTCAACACCGTTCCTAAAACACCGTTCATTGTTACACCGCTTCCATAACACTCCGTCACCGCAGAATCGCTCAATTGCCCCCGGGTACAGCTACACCACGACCCTCTGCGTCTCTTGCGGGATCCGCACGCGACATCTGCACCGGACAATTTCTCGAGCGAGGTTCACCGTTCTATATACATACGTATACGTACCAGCCGTACTATATCGATTCTCCGGTTCCAAACGGCGAACGGAAAATTGCGGATGCGTGTCCGGTATAGTGGGGCTGGGGCGCCGTATGGTCGTCCCATAGTCCGTGCTGCGGCGGCGGTATCGCCGCCCTCGGGATGGGTGACAAGAACCAGACCACGAGAAGCTGCTGGACACATCGGCGCGTTACACCGTATCCTGTAAACGCGGCTAGGCCACTCGCTTTCCGCCTAGCGCCGATTTGATGCATGGATACCAGTTTGCCACACTCCGCGCGCAATACTGCATATTGGCTGGTATTGGGCGATCCATCATACCGCAAGACACCGGCACATCGCTCATTCGCCTTAACGCTCCAGATGCTGTTGCCAACTTCGACGCGGAGAGACGGCCAACCTCGTACATTCTATCCCTGAAAGGATAGTTTGGTGGGCGGGTGCGGGGGTTTGACGTTTAGCTAGAGGAGGCATCGTGCTTCCGCGTTTCGCGCGTTGCCGGAAGTGGAACGCATCCATAATTCCCGAGGCTCTAAGACGGGAGAAGGCTACCCCCGGTGACGTTCGTTCGTCTTCAGATTACGGGATATTAACGATCCGGATAGCGCGTCGTTTTCAAACTGTTTGCGCGGAAACGTTCGCTTCTAATCTTTCTGCGAGATCGTCTTACCCAGGGTGTCTACTTTGTTGCCGGATAGAAAGTGGCGTTGCTATCAGGATTGGACGGCAAGAGTTTCTGTTTTCTGGTGCATAGTGTTCGATTCTCTTGTTCAGAATTGGGAGACTACTTTTTATGGCTGTTCTGTTTGACGACTGGGTTTGATAGGTGATGCTTGCAATTAGGTTCGAGTAGAATTTTGACTATACAAAGATTATTTTGTTTCAGCTGAAATGCAATTAAACCGATCGTACACCTGCATTCTCTTAAGCGAAACTTCCATATGGAACAAATTTACAGCATACTGATCAAGTTCAATCCGCACAGAACGAGTTTTCAATTGAACAAAAAGTCGGAGAGGCAATTTTCAACAAAGATACACACAAGCGTTACCAATTCACCTGTGAACTACAGCTACACGTGAATACCGGTACTTTTCAAAGAACGGATTTATCGACATGGCAACAGAAAACGCGCACCTCCAGACGAACGCTAGCCAGAAAAGGGAATAGTATATGCTTATAATTACTCCTCCTTTCGTTTATTTACCAAGAAAATGAGCGCCGATTACTCCCTTGCCGCGCTTTGCCAACAGCGACGCACGGGTCAAAGATTCCGAACAATTCCAGCCTCTTCACATTGACACACACTCACACGCGTGTTTCATTCGGTGTCTTTTCATTGTTACTTTCCCCGTCCCTTGATCTCTTTATTGTCCGGGGGAACTTTGACGGCGCTTAGAATATATTTCGCTTTTCAGAATTCCGAGGCTGACGAGCGAATGAAAACGTACCGACGATCCGGAAAGTTCGGTACGCGAACCGGTTGACCCGTAGCTTTTGCAATCCTACCGCCTCTATCGTTTTGCCTGAAGTTTCTCGGGGATTTTCGAACGTTCCTCGCTAAACCGGCCATCAACTTTCCTACGTGTAACGCGCGAGCGTGCTTGCGCGATTACCTCCTCCATTCCGGAGACCGCATTCCTGGATTTCTCACCGAACGAAAATATCTCCGAAACTGTGCGCCGATAACGAGCGATTTAATAGAATTGATCCGATGCTCGGAGTTTATAACGAACTATTCCGAGCACGATGCGAATAGCAATCGTAACCCGTGTGATTTGCTCCTTCGTGTTATTCCCGGTGTGCGTAGCCGATGGATAGTTTGGATTCGAGTTGCCCGGAGTGCTGAGTTTCTGCAGATTTTTCGGTGAAATATGACGGAGGTTGGAACAGGTTGATTTTTTAACTACGGTCGCAAAATTTCTTATTTCGGCCGTATCGTTTTAAAATTCGATTGGTTAAACGAAAGTGCAAGTGCGTAAATGATAAAATTAAGTATTGTAGGGGATTTTTGTGTGGAGGGATAGTAAACTCGAACGGACTTTTGACTATGCTATATTTATTAATAGTTTATATCGCTACGCTAGGGATGTCGCTCAATCAATCGCTGGATGCATTCTGCCTTTCGCTCCCTCGCATTCGCCCTAATGTCATCTTGCATACATGCACACTTTTCGTTAGAAGAAAACACACACGCACTCACGCACTCCTCGCCTGATTACTAAAACTAAACATTCGTTCAATATTTTTCGCGCTATCCCAAACACTCGACCTGGCACGCCGGTCCTTACCGCTCACGCCATAGACCCTCACGCATTCACACAGACAACGCACTCACGCTCGGTCATCCCTACAGTATTAAATTAAGAAGCAAGTGCACCAAAAGGCTCGAAATGTACCAAATTTTCAAAACGCCTAAGGATGTCGTGACAGCTTTGATACGTGAAATATGTAAATTCAGTCGAAGAGGAACTTTTGGGGTACATGTTAAGTATTATTCGTAAAATTGCTATTAGACGTATCAGACAGGTGAATATTACAGAGAAATTGTAATAGAATTTTGAACGTTTGCTTTAGCTTGATTGCAAACTGTATACACACTTTGTCAGGAACTTCATATTTCAGTGACTATAGTGATCTAATGTAGTGTTGTCTAAACAGAGACACAAGAGCTTAGGGAATTGCTTCCACTTTGTCTTCGTTATGAGTTGAATATGGTGTACACGTATATGACAAATATATGTGAAACGTATGGATTCTACAGTTGCTTTCTGTGAAAGTGCATTGATTTCTTTGCGTCTACCGATAGTACCTACGTAAAACGACAGACTCGTATGCTGACCTTTAACTTTTCCCGAAAGAAGTTGGTCAAGAGATTCTTGCATGGAGAAGTTAAAATATCGATCGAAGGATACTTCTAGACTATAAGTACCCATGAAGAACACC